TCCTTGGTCGTCTTATGGGGTTTGTTTGCCTACGGGATTCACGTTAGTGAGTAGAGTGTGCTCTGTGACGTTGGGGGTGTCGATCGCTTCTTGGTGCCGATGAGCCAGACTAGTCACCAGTTGAATTCTGACCTGTTGGGGTGATGTCGGTGAAGCATGGCTAGTCAAGGTTTTGTGTGGTTGGTTGCTGATTTCTCAGCTCAGCCACGTTCTATTTCACCACTTGTACAACCATTGTTTTGATCATTTCCACTAGTTGGTCGTTCTTGGGGTTTGACATCCTCGCTCCCTAGTTATTCCCAGTTTGTTGAGTCAGCGGCACTAGTGGTCAATGCCTAGCAGCATCCTGTTGCACCTCTTGGTGTGTGGTCTCCACATTGTTGTGGTTTCAGGTGGTGGTTTTTGATCTTGTATACATCATTTTGGGCCTGGAGTGATTAAATCGTTGTGGCTGTTTGCCAAAATTTCTTAGATTTTGGCGGAGGCCCTCCTTCTAGCGCCAAAATATTGATACAGGATTTTTCACCAAGTAAAGTGATCTGATCGACCTAGTAGGGATCGAAACTGATGTGTGTGTGATTACAGGTAACCAGCAGTGAATAAATAGTAATTGCAGTAAAGTAAATGGCAAAGAGATTTTTAAAGTGGTTCTATGAGTTGAACTCTTGAGCCTACGTCTACTGTTATTGTATTTGTTGTAAGAGCTTACAATGACAATCATATAAACGTTTTCTAACCCCTTTCTCATCGTTGGAGGGGGTTATATACAGATTTTGTACAAAGGAAATAGCGAAAATAAAAGGATTACAATTAAGTTTGAAATGCAACTCTGATATTCTCGCGATTGAGCATTGTGATTGCGCAAAGATTGTTGTCGATCTGATCCTTCCCGATATATCTGGGATCTGAAGTTATTTGCGAATTGGTTGAATGACTGCAAGGAGTGGTCGCGAGTAACTTATGCTAGGTTGAGCTATAACTCAACGAGCTTATGCTGGGTCGGACAGTCAATTAAGTTGGACTGATTCTGGATCGAGCTATTACCTTGCAACTCTCCGAGCTTGATGGAAAAATACACACAACACCAATCTAAAATAAATATTTAACCTTATTTCTTATTTTTTGTAAGATCAAGTTAGTTAAATTTTTTGTTACTATAAAGAAATATTTGTACTTCATTTTCTTTATCTTAGTTAATTTTTTAAATAAATTATAACTTGATATAATTTTATAAGTTTCATTTAAATTAAAAATTATATATTTTTAAANGCAGATTCTTATAAAATATAACTGTAATTTTCTATGCCCTGATTTTGGGTTCTAAGGAACGATCCATGGTTGTAATTTTTTTTGTTTTCCGCTGCGCAACCGGGTCGTTTCCTAACACGTTCAACACTATGATAGCCTTACCGTATTATCTGTGCCCTTACTTCAGAATAATACTAGGGCTACAGACGTTTCTAGAATGGCCACCTTATGTGCTCATAGGGTTCTCAATATCAAAATTTGAAACACTTGATTTCCTCGTCACGGTTCTACCATTCTAAGGACATATATCAATACATACAATGATGATTTACATGATATAGAATAAAATACCTTTTATTGATCAATGAACATTATTACAAAAGGTCAATTTTACAATAATTGATTGCCTCTAGGGCATCTACTCAAACGCAGCTCCATTAGGTCATTGAAAGTGTCGAGGTGGTCTCTGGGATCTCTTTTTTCGTCGAACTTACTTTCTGGCACCCTGAATCCCTAAGGAAACGGGGCCTGGCAAACTTCCTCTATGAAAGGAGAGCTCACTACTTCTTCTGCCACATTGTTCTAACGAGCTCTTAGATCATTGAGAATTTTCTGCACCAGATCTAAGTCTTCATTGTGATTGCCCTAGTTGGCTCTATTCAGCCTTACCTCATCCATGTGAGTTCTTAAATCTGTTGCTTGTGAGCTCCCTCTGTTATGTGCATTGATGCATGAAGTTGAGTCATGATGGCTAGCCTGGTAGGTGTTATCATGCTCGTCAGTGCGTTGCTCGTGACGTTAATTATAATTGGAATGTCGGTCATTGCCAGATTGGTGCACATGACTCATCTCACGAGCTTGCGAGGATCAAGCTTGCCTTAAGCATGGGTTAAAACTGGAACGCTAATGCTAGGGATACCGTTGATCAGGTCGAGCGTCACGTAGGCAACCATTACATTTGCTTTCCCCCATTATCTGTTTCCTTGGTCGTCTTATGGGGTTTGTTTGCCTACAAGATTCACGTTAGTGAGTAGAGTGTGCTCTGTGATGTTGGGGGTGTCGATCGCTTCTTGGTGCCGATGAGCCAGACTAGTCGCCAGTTGAATTCTGACCTGTTGGGATGATGTCGGTGAACCATGGCTGGTCAAGGTTTTGTGTGGTTGGTTGCTGATTTCTCAGCTCAGCCCAGCCACGTTCTGTTTCACCACTTGTACAACCATTGTTTTGATCATTTCCACTAGTTGGCCGTTCTTGGGGTTTGACATCCCCGCTTACTAGTTATTCCAGGTTTGTTGAGTTAGCAGCACTGGTGGTCGATGCCTAGCGGCATCCTGTTGCACCTCTTAGTGTGTAGTCTCCACATTGTCGTGGTTTCAGGTGGTGGTTTTCGATCTTATATGCACCATTTTGGGCTTGGAGTGATTAAATCATTGTGGCTATTTGTCAAAATTTCTGAGATTTTGGCGGAGGCCCTCCTTCTAGTGCCAAAATGTTGATACATGATTTTTCACCAACTAGAGTGATCTGATCGACCTAGTCGGGATCGAAACTTATGTGTGTGTGATTACAGGTAACCAGCAGTGAATAAATAGTAATTGCAGTAAAGTAAATGGCAAAGAGATTTTTAAAGTGGTTCGATGAGTTAAACTCTTGAGCCTACGTCCACTGTTATTGTATTTGTTGTAAGAGCTTACAATGACAATCATATAAGCGTTTTCTAACTCATCGTTGGAGGGGGTTATGTACAGATTTTGTACAAAGGAAAGAGCGAAAATAAAAGGATTACAATTAAGTTTGAAATGCAACTCCGATATTCTCATGATTGAGCGTTGTGATTACGCAAAGATTGTTGTCGATCTGATCCTTCCCGATATATCTAGGATCTGAAGTTATTTGCAAATTGGTTGAATGACTGCAAGGAGTGGTCACGAGTAACTTGTGCTAGGTTGAGCTATAACTCAACGAGCTTATGCTGGGTTGGACAGTCAATTGAGTTGGACTAATTCTGGATCTAGCTATTACCTCGCAACTCTCCGAGCTTGATGGAAAAATACACACAACACCAATCTAAAATAAATATTTAACTTTATTTCTTATTTTTTGTAAGATCAAGTTAGTTAAATTTTTTGTTACTATAAAGAAATATTTGTACTTCATTTTCTTTATCTTAGTTAATTTTTTAAATAAATTATAACTTGATATAATTTTATAAGTTTCATTTAAATTAAAAAATATATATTTTTAAATAAATTTAGTTTAAAAGGTTATATTTTTAATTTTCCCCACAAAAAAAAAAAAAAAAAAATGCCATGTTTTCCCTTTATACATATAAGGTCGTGGGTTTTGAATTTTGAGTAATAGGTTGAATATTAGGTACTATAATCCAATCTAACTTATTGGGATGATTAATTGATTATAGGTAGGACTCAATTCTAAACATTTCAGATGGGATACTTCCCAATCCACTTGGATAAATACTTTACAGATATTTCCTTTGCCATCCCTAAACTTATATGAATTGATAGGAATTTGCATTATTTTGCCCTCCACAACTACATAAAAAAATACTTAAAAAAAAAAATTGTAGTGCACAATCGAGAACATAGAGGAATAGAAGCCCTTTATCGCCAATAAATCGCGACGAAAAGATTGGGAAAGTGAATTGGATCTTTGTGTTAAATGACTAATTAGGATTCAGTCACCGGAATTAAGAAAAGTTAAGTGGACAAGAATGGCATTTAGCAAGCGCCCAATGCGCGCCTACCCTTGGCAGTTTGTGCTAGTTGCTTGTGAAACACCTCCCACCCCCTTATCACTCCCTCCACCGTCGACAAACACCTCAACACAATCCTTTAACCACCCCCGCTCACCCTAACACCCTTCTTTTCACTGAAAACACCTCAAACAAACCCGCCAAAGGATGCACCAGCCTCTTCTCAAAGCCCTGAGGAAGCCCCTCAGAGTGTCCCAGCTAAGACCTCGCGGGGCCTCAAAGATCCCCCCTGTAAGTACCAACCTCCCTGATCGAAAGGGTTACCTCCCAAGTGGTGACCCGATATTGAGACCTCCTAAGGCCTTAGAGATTCCCCCAATGAGCACCCAACTCCCTAACCGGAAGGATGCCCTCCCACATGGTGACCTGATTTTGAGACCTCTCAAGGCCTCAGAGATTCCCCCGTGAGCACCACCCTCCCTAACTGAGAGGATGTCCTCCAAGGTCTGACCCGTTTATCGAGGCTCATGATTTTTTTGGCCCACAAAGCCCTTAAAATGGCGACGAGGGAATGATGAGTCTTCTGTTGACAACTGCAAAGGCTTGTTAGCCATGGTTCTTCCTATCCCCACTGAAGACATTGAGGTGGACCTCCACTCTCACATGGAGTGGCCCATGCTCTAGTCCTACTCCTCTTGTCCTTTGGATCTACCGATGCCTAAGGGTAAGAAGAGTAAGAAGAAAGGATGGTGATCTCAGTTTCTTGTTCCTTTTTTTTTATTGTAGAGCCTGCATGCTCTCTTTGGACGTCTGTGCCTCTTTTGTGTTTATGTTTACGAGCCTATGTGCTCCTTTGTAGGTGTATGTGTCTTTTTTTATTTGAGCCTGCGTGCTTTTGAGACAAGGGCATATGTGCCTTTGTCGTTTTTTGGCCTATGGGCCGTTCATGTTAACCTCCTTCCTTTTGGATATAAAACTTACTTATAACCAAAACAAAACAAAAAATAAATAATAAAAATAAAAATAAAAACTCCGGCAGTTTAATTCAATGTTTAGGATATAGATAAATTATACATAAGCTGAACAAGAATAGCGTGACATATCTCTTGTTTCAAATTAGTATTTAAAGTAAACAGATGTTAATTAAACTTGATAAAGATGATGACTAGTGCTGACGATGATGGCCATTTTTAACTTTGTAGAGTTCAACTGTTCTTCCGTTCAGAGGCTGCAAAGGCCTTGCATTGGTCTTGCTATGTGACGCCAATGGAGCTCTCAAAGCCTCTACCTGCTCCTTCGAAATCGACCTCGCCTGCACAGTTTGTTAACCTACGTCATTAATCTATAGGTGCAGACATCCTAAACGTGCGGATCAATGGTATGCAACTAGTTGCTCTCAGACTTTTGCCTTTGTGAAGTCAGTTTCTAATTGATGACTTTTGATGTGTACTTTAAAAACTTCAGGACATCCGCATATAGAATAACTGATTTATATAAATAAATTAAAAGAAGTACCCTGGCGAGAACAGTCCAGACAACGTCTTCAGTGCATGGGGGAGTAGTAAGAGAACCCATATATCTGTAAAATTTGTTTGTCTTTCGCCTCAAGTGACTGGTATCCAACTTTCCCATTGGAATCTTAACTCCTTTATGACTGCTTGACCCACCCAGCTCATACAAGTATTTACTTATCTGCAATTATCAAACCATTATCATATATTAATATTATCTCCAAGTCTTCTTTACTTCCTAAATTTCTATCTTCTAAGAATGGTTTGTTGCTAAAAACATTTGATACATAATTTTTGAAGCTGGGTAGTTTCATTCATTATTCTTGATATTTTGCCATCTTTGAAGCAAGGAAGGTGTCTGAAAAATTTTATGAAACATCATGAAGGTCTCAGATGATTTTTGGTAAGTTCAGGAGAAATAAATTTTTTATTCTAGTTTCTAGTTTCTTGGCATTATAGAGTAAGCAAAAAGAAGTTTTTGGGAAAGTGTACCTTATTGACAAGTGGATCCGGGTTACCATAATTGTAAAGGATTGAAATAACTGCAGCACTGCCATCATCTGCCAGATGGACTGCATGGAGCTCCGCATGAAATCTGTCATAAATTACAATTCAATGATCACAATTATATTTTAAAGAATTTATCTTATTTGCTTTGCCTTCTTTAATAGTTAATGAAAAAGAGAGTGAGAGAGAGAAAGTAAATTCACAAACGAATATGATGGAAATTCTTAGCTATATCGTTGATATAAAATAGAAAGAGAAAGAGGGGAATAGAATATACATTTGTCCATCAATTTGGTGCTCCGCAGGAGTATGCCAGTGCATTTGTTTGAAGGTGTATTTCTTACCCTTTATCACCAAATCTCCAATTTCTTCCTCATAATGCACCTGCGTATATAAGATTTCAGTTTTTCAATTTCATAGTACAAAATGGGAGCAAGATGTAGAACGCAATGCAAAATATGTTGTGGAAGTTTAGGAACAAACCCCGATAACGAAGCCTAAATTGATGATTGTGGCATTTGCAGCCGAGATATAATTCTTGGCTAAGGGTCCCAAAGTTGTGTCGATGTGGGTTTGTTTGGTTAAAATGTTAACTGGAGACTGGTGCTTCCCCGTTGCGCATGGTGAGAAAGATTTATTCAACCCTCCCCAGTGGTCAGGTCCTTTTAATCCCATGTAACTAAATTCACTTGAAGAATTCTCTGAAAGTAGAGAAGAAACATCACAGAAATTAAGTATATGAAAAGAAGATTATCATAGAGAGAAGTAAGAAGAAAGTACCCTCATCTAAATTTGCGGAAGCAACAACTAGAAGCAATGAAATGGCTAAAATTGAGAAGGGGAATCGAGGAATCATTCTGTTGATTGTTATTAGTAGAATGAACGCTCGAAAGAATAATGAATGAATGATATTTATACGAATATCCGCTAAATTTAGGTGAGGATAAGTGTTGGTTTTTGGGGGTATTTTATGGTAGAAAATTCTTGGTTAATGATCTGTTTACAGAACTAATTCTGAACTTAATGACTTCCTGCATTGTGGCCATTAACCTCTGTTAAGCAACTGAAACAGTTGCCCTCTTAGATTGAATTATGACTCTGGAGTTTGGTGAGCATGGTTAAAACAGAAGACTATCAAAACTACAAATCAAATGAGCACAAGTGAGTTTTGTCACTTGTTGGAAAACAACTAATTCCCTTTCTTTCTTTTTTTTTTCCTTTTTCTTTCCTTTTTTTTAAGTTTTTGTAATGCGCACATTCCAATAAACAACAAACATCCCAATATTCTTACTATCAAACTTAATCATGGAGAATATCACAGATACCCTTAAGGTTTTCAAACCTATCATTTGGATGATAACTTTTACACTTTTTTAAAGGGACCCTCAAAGTTTGAAAACTGTATCATGCATCCCCCTTTGCCCTAATCCTGTTATGTTTCAAATTCTGTTAGATAGGTGAAATAGTAACTTTGGTTTCTAGAAAGTGAGGTAAAATAGTAACTTTAACCCAAGGGGTTGGCCTAGTAGTCAAAGAGGTTTGCACCATTCCTTAGTTCTTATTAAACTTGGGGTTACCTACCACAATAATATTGTGGTTACTGGTCTTTGGGCTTGTAAGGTGTTCAATAGACCGAAGATTAGTTGAGGTGCACCAAATGACCCGAACAACTTTTTACCAAAAAAAATAATAAATAATGTTGAAGAAATATAGTAATTGTTGTTATAAGAAATGTTTTGTAAACCTAATGACAATGTAACGAAGTAGGGCAAAGAGGTATACGTGATAAAGTTTTTAAATTTTGAGGGTCTATTTGATAAGGCAACGGGGTATCGGGGAACATTTATCAAATTTTAAGGGTCTATTTGATAATAAAAAATGTGAAAATTGTCATTGTGGTGATAAAATCATAATCCTAAAGGAGTCCATGACGCTAGTTATAAATAGGGGAATTGATTAAAAAGCCGTGGGTGTTTCCACTTAAATCTTTACTTTAATTTTAATTATTATTGTAAATCAACAATATGGCATATAATTTAGGCTTTATTATTGAATGAGCAGATAGGAGTGATGTGAGCCACTTCAATTCAATGACATGAAAACGATCAAAACTCATCAGCAGACAGAAGCGAAATCCATATGGAAGTTGGGGTCTAAATTAAAGAGGTAGTATCAGTCATGTCACCTTCTAGACAACTTCAGCTTTATTCCCAGCTACACATGGTTTAGTTCAGGTGTGGTCACCACAGGCCTTGTTAGTGGAATAGGCAAAAGTGAATATTAGTGTTGTGTTGCTGTCTTTCTCCCCTCCATTTCGACCCGTAAGGGTTTGGTGGGGCTGTTCAAAAAAATGATTAAATTTTGTAGCAAATAACATAGTTGTTGTTTTTTTTTTTTTTTTTTTAAAGGAGGTTACAAAAAGACTTCCATAGGCCACTTATCATAGTATTTGCCTTAGATGCTCATAAAATTTGATCAAGGCTAAGCAACTATTAAAGTTGTTCAGTTTGATCATTTCAGTTTTTTTTTTTTTTTTTTTTTTTTTTGTTCAGGTGACTGTAACTAATACATCAGACTGCATTATTTTTTATTACAATTTTTTTTTTTTTATGATCAGTGATGTTAGACCAATTTACGCATACCTCATTAATCTTTCAAGACCTTAAAACTACCGACCGATTAAAAACTACAACGATCGCCTCTATTAACAGCAAAGGTGAATCGAACTCAAGTCTTCTTAAATAATACATCAAAAAATCATAGTGACCAATCAGCACCAAGTGATGATTTTTTTATACAACTTTGTTCGGTCAATTTTCGTTTTAAATTATTTTACTTTTTAGAAAAAAAATATATTATTCAACTGTTAGAAAAAATTAAAGAAGTTGGAGAGTAAAAAAAAAGGGGGGAGTTATAAAAAGCATTTGAAGGTACATTTAATAAAAGGCTATCAGTTTTGAAATGTTAACTAAATAGCCATATTATGATTAAGGGTAATTAGTGCTAATTAGGATTAATGTAATCTTTCAAAATTATCTATTTCCACAAACCCGAAATTGTTGCAAATAAACCAAAAACTTCTTCTCTCGCCCTAAAGCATCTCTACCTGCATTCTTTTTTCTGGCGTCGTCAACATCTTCTTCTTCCTCTGCATCTTCTTCTTCTTCCTCCTTCCTGTACATCTTCTTCTTCCTATTCCTCTATACTTCTTGGTCCTCCGCCATTAACACTTTCTTCTTCCTCCACATTAACATCTTCTCGGCAAAGATCCCCTCCTCCTCCTCCTGACATTTCGCCTAAGTATGTGTATCTCCTTTTTACATTTATATTTTGATTTACAAGATTTAATATGGATGGGGTTTGGGTTATGATTTGATTTAGTGTTTAGGTTGTTGGGTTGTGTTTGATGAATGTAGGTTGAAAGGAGTGAAATTTGTTGAAAATTGTTGTGGGTATTTATTCTGGGTATGATGGATCGATTGTAGGTGGAGATGACTGAAAATGTTCTGGGCACGATGGATCGCTTAAGCGATCCGGTGGATCGCTTAAGCGATTCGGTAGGTCTGGTAATGCAGCAGATAGATCGCTTAAGCTCAGGTATGTGGCATAGATCGCTTAAGCGATCCGGTAAAGTCTGTTGTATGGGAGCAGATCGCTTAAGCGATCAGTAAATCGCATAAGATGCTTAAGGTTATTTATACTGAAGCTTAAGCGACAACTGTATCGCTTAAGCGATCCAGTATAAAAACCATGATCGTTCAAGCGATACATAGACCAAATATGCGAATGTGCAGATTCTTTAAACTATTTGAACCCTTAGTACAGCATTAAGAATATTGTTTTTCTTGCATTACAGGTAGTTGGCTATTATTAACATGGGAAAAGTTGTTTGGGTGTTGAATATTTTGGTGAGTGGGTGGAGGAAGAAAGTAGGTGGAAGTGGATTGGGAAGAGCAAAGAAGTTATACCAATTGCTGTGAGCACAGAGGTTAGTTTTGATGAGTGTTGATGAATAATTAGAGAGGTAATTGAGTTGCTCGCGTAGTGATATAGTTGTGAAGTAGTTTTAAGCAGAGCTCCTGAAAATTATAAGGTACCTCCTGCTGTATTAAAGTCGGATGAAAGTGTGAACTATTTATGATTGATATGGCCGATAGTGGTTCGAGGCCGATTTTAAGGGTTTCTTATGTAGAAAAACCGTTGGAAGTTGGTTCCAAGGAAGGGGGTAACGAGGATGTAGGCGGAGATTTGCCTGGTTGTAATTTGAACTACGAGGCCATTGATTTGTTAGCTGAAAAATCAAGAGTAGACGGTGAATTGGGTGGTGAGGAGGACACTATAGAAGAGGTTGGTGATGGGGGCAGAATGAAAATGTTGAGGAGGAGGACCCGTAGATGTTCCACAGATGTAGAGATTCCTTAAATACAGATTATGCAGAAGGCGTAGATTGTGGGAAGAGAACACTATGGTCGTTTTTGCAGGTTCAAAGGGGGCAATTGGAGGTAGTAGTGGATCAGCTATGTCTTTACGGATGGATCGGACTTGCGCATAAGGTATTTATTTGACAACAAAGAGGAAGTGTGGGAGGAAGCTAAAACTGTTGCTGTGTGAAAGGTAATTTGAGTTCATCACCAAAAAGTCAAATTCATTGGCTGTGACGGTTGCATGTCATGACGAAAGTGCAAGTGGGGGTTTATTGTAGAAGGTGGCGGAGTCGGAAAAGTTTATCTTAGACCATACCTGTGAGACACATGTGGTTTGGGACATATTTCAGGTGAGCATCGACAAGCGTCCGCTGATGTTATTGGACATTTGTCAAAAGTGGTTCGTCGAAGGGAAAGGTCCATCTCCTAAAGACATTCAGAGACTTGTGCGCACAGAGTTGGGATGGCTGTTAGTTACTGGAAATGCTGGAAAGGTAGACAACATGCACAAGATTTTGTGAGGGGCACGCCGGAGCACGGGTACGCAGTATAGAAGCGTACCGTATAGCGTGAGTTGACAAACCAAGGTAGCAAGACGGCTTTGAAGTGGGACAGGAATATGATGTTTAAATATTTTTTTTGTGCTTATGGTGCTGCTATAAGGGGTTTTGTAAACATGAGAAGGTGTTGGCTGTTGATGGTTGCTTTCTAACGGGAAAGTATGGAGGTACATTGGTGGGGGCCACTGCACAGGACAGCGAGAATCACACATATCCTGTTGCATGGTGTGTGGTTGACTCTGAGAATGACGAGTGTGGAATGGTTTTTCAGCAGTTTCGTACGATAGTGCCTGACAGTGATGAGTTGTGCATAATATCCGATAGGCACAACTCTATAAAGAAGGGGATTGCCACTATTTACCGTCAAGCACATCACGGATTCTGTATGAGGCACCTTGGTGAGAACATAAAACAAAGCTTAAGTGTGCTGGCCTCCTTCAGACATACTACATGGCAGCAAAAGCTTATCGGGTTGATGAGTTCGAGGAACACTTCCAGCAAATCCGAATCAAGGATGTTAGAGTTGCTAAGTATCTTGAGCATGATGTTGGTTTAGAGATGGAGTAGAGCTTACTTTCCTGGAAGAAGGTTTGATGTCATGACCACGAACATAGCTGAGTCCATAAATTCGAAGTTGTTAATAGAAAGAGAGTTCCAATAGTTGCACTTTTTGATGCAATCCAAGGACACTGTCACGGTGGTTCCATGAGGTCGTATGGAGTCAGATAATTTACTACAACCCTTGTTCCGTCAGCTGAAAAAATATTGCGAGAACATAGGAACTGTCAAAAGCACTGTTTGCCTATCCTCTTAATGCTCAGTTTACTGTGCATGGCTATGGTCCGGATGCCCTAGTTAACCTTGTTACAAAACAATTGCAGCTGTAAAGTGCTTGACATTCAATATTTACCTTGTCCTCATGCACTAGCAGCACTGAAACACCAAAGGAAGCGGATTTTGGTTCAAGAATTTACATGGAACATTTGCTCCCCTTTCTATATGACAGATCACACATGCTAGCATATTCAGAAACGATATATCCGGTGCCTCCAGAAGAGCAGTGGGTAGTGCCGCCAGAGGTGGCTGACATTATCCTCCAGCCGCCATTGAAGAAGACACCAAAGAGGAGAAAAAGGGTTAAG